TGCCCTTATACACTCCTTTAATTCCTTACACTAATGTCCTCTAGTCATGATGAAGCAGACAGAAACCAAAACTTAACTTGGATTTCAATGCCAATAATTCAAGCATTCAATTTCACAGTTTCCAGACACACCCGTAGAAAATTCCCAACCCACACCGTCCAACTTTCTCATTGGTTACAGCAGTAAGCAAAAATGTAAGATGCTAATTTTAGGAAATTCCATTTTTGAAGGTTTTCCAATCTTAATGTAACAACAGACTAAAATGGTCAGAAATAAAAAAAAATACTTTTCAGAGCAAAAAAAACATTAAATGTTAAGGACAAGATGTATATTAAAAAAAAAAACACACAGAATGGACAGTTTTGCATGTTTTCACAGCCAGGCAAATATTTTACATTTTGGTTCATTTAAAGAGCCGTAATCAACGTTCTTTAGCCCTTCCAGCCTGTTCAGTAGCTGGTAGCTAACCGATACCAGGATTACACTGTTTTGGCCCCAAGAGTCCGTCAGTGACTCCTTCACAGCGAGTGGAGGTGGGTACTCACGTCTCTCGCAGGTCCTCGGGCACGGCGATCTGGGTCTTGTGGAAGGTGCTCTGGCTGGCGGGGCTGTTGGGGTTGACCGGCCGGATGCGCTCCAGCGTCACGATCTCGTTGTAGGTGGCGTCACAGGCGGCGTATTCGATCACGTAGAACTGCGCGGGGGAAGAGGCACACAGAGTACAAACGCGTCAGTGTGGCTCGGGCACCGCATGGCGTCAGATGTTAAAGACACGCCTGCCCGGTGGATCTCTGCCGTCAAGCACCGGGGTTGTCTGTGATCGGCAGGCAGGCCTCACATGATATCTCGCCCAGGCCACCTGGATGTCTTCCCAGCTTCCTGCTGCAGGGTTTGGCAGTGTTTTTATTCCTTCATTGTTTTAAATCACAGACGACAAAGGTGTGAATGGCAGTGTTTGCCTCATAGCCACTTTCTCTAAATGACTGTTAGGAAATATCCAGAGCCTTTTCAAAGCAATGACACACCCTTGAAAACATGCCAAACCCTCTATGTTCAAAACCAGTGTCAGTAGAGCTAGCACCAGCAAAGCCTTCCAAAATGCTTGCTATGCAATTCAGGAAGGCTGCCCATCCTGAAATAGATAAAAGTGCAAATCCGTCTATGATCAGAATCTTAAAAACAAGATCCTATCCGGTTTAGAAAGATTCTCATAAATTCAGACATCTAGAGGCAGACAGAAGAGACAGAGAACCTACTGAAAATAACACTTAACTGCACAGTTGGAAAGTACATAGCACAAGCCATTGATTTCTCAGGTAAAGAAACATCAGATACCCATTAAAATGATTTAAGTGCAGATGTTATAAGCAAGATCAAGACCAAAAGTGGGGGATAAAAAAAAGATTCCTGATGTTTAAACATTAAATTCAGAAGATCAGCATTAAATAATACAGGTCTTACAGGAAACTCATGAGAGAGAAGAGCTGCATTTCATTTTCGTTTATTAATGAAAAGATATAAGACCTTACCTCTCCCTTCATCATTCGAACCCGGGCCAGCCACCAGCCGCAGGGCTCGTGCTCATTGGCTCTGGAGTAAACCTGTGGTGGAGATGAGAGGAAAGAGGCAAGTGAGTGATAAACGTAGGGGTGGGAGAAGTGCTTGGTGCTCGTTACCCAGACAGTTACCAACACGCCGAAAATGCCTCGACTGTGCTGGAGCAGTCCGTCTCTAGAGTAAAGGTTTTACTAGAAAAGAGATTCCCAGGGAAGGCAGCAGCTCTGTTGCTGTGTGAACAGGGACCGAACAGCGCAAGCGTAATGAATCATAGGATTAATGAGTTACATTAACCCATCCGGATATCCACACAGATCTAACCAGGTCAGCTGAAAAAACAAAAGCAGGAATTATAACCTGTATTGCAGCCTGTACTCCTTTGGTTTTCAAAATATGGTCCTGCACCCCTTATATAAAAAAAAAAGAAATAATTTACCATTTAGATGGATTTGCCTTCTAAAAACACTCTGTCTTGCACCCCAAGAAAGGGTATCTTGCACCCCCCCGGGGGTATGGGTACCCCAGGTTAACAACAACTGGATTAAAATATTGCTTTTTTGGAATAAGGAGCCAGTGCTCTTTTTCTCACTGATCAGGACCTCTCCTGTGCCGAAGCCAGCCCCCTCACGTCGTCTATTCCAAGGTCATCGAGCGCATGTTTCCCATTTTACAGGATAACCCCTCAGCTGGAGCCTTTCCCCCCACCATGTCTTCAAGTCCACAAGTCCCTTAAACACCCACTGCCCACCTGACCCCTTCTGCTGCAACGCGAGCTGCTGGCACATACAAAGCCCCGCTGGCCACAAGATCACCAGAGAGCATCATGGGTGGCCAATGATGTCATGCATCGTTCGCCCACACTGCAGTGCGCCGCAGAATTCACCGTTGGCACATTTCGAATCAAACGGACAACTCATTGCTCCTTAAATGCAAATACCTCTTGCAGATCTGGAGAATGTGAGTTCAATTGCCTGGGTATTGCTAAAAAACATTTACTCGGCTTTATAGGAGTTACAGGTCAGGTGGCATGGTGGCGCAGTGGTAGCATTGCTGCCTCACAGCGCTGGGGTCCTGGGTCTGAGGTGTTATCTGGGTGGAGTTTGTATGTTTGTATGGGAAAATTGGTCCTGTTGCGAGTATAGTCTCCAGTTTCCCCACAGCTCTTGTAGCAGTCACAAACCACTTTTGTTAAACAGGTTCCAGGTGTGTAGACTCCTTTCAGAGCTCTGGAAGTGTTCGCCTGATATTATATCATTCCTACCTGTGGTTGTACATCACTAATTAGTCATCTGATAAGAGCTGATGTAGCTATAGAGGAGAAGCAATTTAGTTACATTACAAGTTGACAAATGAAAGCTCCACAGTGCCACCTTCTGGTATTTTCTCATGTTTGCATTTTAAAAAATGTGGGGTACTGGCTGAGAATTGTAGTCCATTTATAAACTATGATTAGCAATTAAAGTAATCAGGCATCTGTATTCAATTGTAAAGGAACAAGAAAGGGTTTATTCCATGCGTAAAAGAAAAGAATGTTTCGGCTGTGGAGCCTTCTTCAAATGTCAATGACCCAAACCTGAAGGAGTGGTCCATTCCACAGCTGAAGAAGGCTCCACAGCCAAAACATTACATCTCTTTTCTTTTCAGCATGGAATAAACCTTTACTTGCTCCTTTGCAGCCTACGCATGCTGATGCAGCCACCTACTAAGAACTTATTCAATGGCAGACTAGAACACCCACAAAAGCTGGCATCCCACTGGTTATTAACAAGCCCTACAATGTTTAATCTAGATATGTCAAAACACATGCAAGGAAAATGTCATCTGGTTGCTTTTTGACAAATCATATGACAGCCAAACCATGGCAACCAATCCACCCATTCTGACAGTCTAAATCTTGGAGACTTCAGGTCTATACTGTTACAGGTTTCAAAGGATTTCCAAAAATGGCTATAAACTCCTTGGCTTTGTTATCTACAAGCATTGTAGACCCATCAAAGTTCTAAGACTATTACATTTCATGACCGTTACACTGTAACGCCAAGATAAAATGCAATACAAATAGGCTACCGAGAGCTTAAAAGTTCATTGGCTATTCTTAAAATAGCAACTTGCTATCAATAAGGCCTGAAGTTCTACATAATCACGTGCCTTATAGCTCAAACAATATCCTCTAACTGACCCTGTGTCAGTAATGTCCCTAATTATTAATTTAGCTGTTCACTGCTGATTAGCTGTGATTAGACGAGAACATTCTCCCATAATAAACATTACAGCATATTATAACTTAGGAATATTGGAAGAATATATACAGTATATCCCAGATTTCAAGCTTAGGTGACATTGTGTAGCAACCACCTAAGAACTTACTGATTCTGAATCATTTAATTAAATAAAATCAGGGACCATCTGTGCATGCTACTCATTTTAAATAATCACACTGTGAAAGCACTGAATAAAAATGGATGCATGAAGTGTCACTTAACTCATTCTCAGGCTGTGAATCAGCCTGTGTGGGAATTGCAGAAACTCATTAAGGCACAGCACCAGAATGACTGGTTAATAAGGGAGCTATTGAAGACTCTTGGAGCTGGAGGACTGAGGAACAGCTTCTCAAGATCTTCGCTACGAACCAAACTGAGTAACACAATCTAATTTACGTACAAAGAGCTCCAAGTTGCTTGCTCTTACAGTTTAGTGGGTGAAGCAGTTCTAAGGCTTTTGAGCCAATTTCAATATGACAGCCAAAGCACATGAGCAGTCATTTTGACGCATTTTGATCACAAACATGATGCGACACGGCCTGCCAGGTTTCAAACCTCCAAGAAGTTCAGTATTGGAGAACTGTTCACAAAACCCCAAAGAGGTCCCTGCCATCATTTCGAATCGGAAAACATCTCATCGACCTTTTTGCAGTCCTGACAAATTACCTGACATTTGACCTGGGAGTCTGGATTTTAGGCAACTAAAAAGGATTAAAAGAACAAAGAAATGAAAATAAAAAAGTTAATGTTTAAACTGCAGATCTTTTTGGAGGGGTTTGGCAAAGTGTAACTGCAGAACCTGACGTGTGACTGGGAATCCTGGCCTTCTAGTACTCATCTGTTAATTGATTCTTCGTTAAGCTCTGGCTGTTTCCCTGACAAAACTGGTTTACCTCCCCATTTCTCCGCGAATTCACTACACTGCACAGCAGTGACGTTTTCGACGAGCTAGGGTTTTATTTGGAATCCCTATGGGAAGCTAGCCTTGAGGATTTATTTTTGACATTTAACACAAAAGAAACACAACCCCCCCCAGCCCAAATCTGAGCTGGGATCGAGTCTGATCTGGCAGCGCAGGACGGAGAGGCAGTGAATCTTGAATACTACCGTATGGCTGCGAGGCCCTGCTTGTGTACCCATTCAATAAAGGAGCAGAACCGAGCAGCCAGACAGTGTAGGCAGGGCTGGGATGTCCTACCTCCACTTCCTCTCCCTCCGTGATGTCCTTGTGGTAGTCGGCAGGGGGAGGCAGTCTCACGTCGCTGAAAGGCAGCTGTCTCTCGGGCTGCCAGCTGTTAACGAGAGAAAAGGGTCATCAGTGGGCAGACCATCCTTACACACGTTTCTCAAACCAAAATGATGGCACCTCAAGGCACATGTCCCTTGTCTTTGCTACACGGATAATTTCATTAAACACACGGAAGGACCACTCAAAAACCAGCAACCCTCACAGATCACAGCGACCTCAGCCAGATCTGTCAGAGGGATAAAGAGAGCAGTACTACTTACCACGCCATATCATTAAACACCTCTATTACATTCCACTTCTCCAGAAAATGTGGTAAATGGGTTGAATGGAAAACAACTTTACTGAGAAGTGATGTAGACAAAATATGCAAAAATGTTTAAGACCTCTAAGAAAGTTGTGAACAAGACAAGAAAACACTACATTGAAAATGTAAAATAGCCTTCTCAACCCCAGAGGTAGCTGCAGAACTGGCGACTGCTCGAAAACTGAGTTACGCACGCAGACTCGCAGGACACAGAGATGGGCCTTTACTCAGCAGAGACCAGGCCGAGTCGAAATGGTGGACCAGTAGATGGCGCTGTCTGCCTCTAGACCAGAATTTCCACACCAGCATGGTAACTGGGGACACAGTGCTGCAGTGCCATCGTTCAGGTGAGACATTAAACCGATGTCCTGACAACATGGGCGATTACAGATTCTACTTTTTGCAAGAGCTGAAACACTAATAACAAGGTGCCCCGGCTAAATCGCACTCAGAGCTTGGCACAATCCGGTCTCCCTAACGTTCCAAGCAAGTTCTCACTTTTCTGTAGGTGAGGTGCTGGTGCAGAATGGCTGCAGTGTGTCCCCAAAGAGGGGGCAGCACTTCAACAGTAAACCATGCCCTCCTGTATGCAAAGTACTTAAATTTTCTTTGGTGGCAGCTTCCTAAGTATTGTAAACTGCTGGCACTGTAAGTAAATGACAATGCAGTGATACTATAACAAAATATATTCTTTATTTATGGTTGTAGCAGTTTCATCCCAGAACCAAGATGCTATCTGCATGGAGTTTGTATGTTCCTCATGTATTCGTGTAGGTTTCATCCAGGTGCTACTGACTCCTTCCATGGTTCAAAGGCATTCTGGTAACTTAATTGGCTCGTGCGTGTCTTTGTATCTGTGCCTTGCAGTGGACGGGCTCCCCTTCCAAGGTGTACCCCACCTTGCACCCATGAAATTCCCAGGATATGCTGCGGCTGCCCTGCCACCCTGAAGTGGAATAAGAAGTTAGAAAATGGATGGATAACTGCGGCGGTTCTCACAGAAAATAGCTGGTAGCAGGACATCACACCAGTATACTACAGTACCAACAGCAATGGGGAGTAGTTCATATAAAGTAAAAAAAGAGCTTTTCAAAATGACGATTTCTGGCACCATCTAGAGAATAAGACCAAGGTACTGTTGGATATTAATCTGTGGGATAATCAGGAGCTGCATACTTGTCTAGTAGATGGTACACTTAATTCAGGCCTGGCTTTTAGCGCAGCATGTGGAAAACCGAGTGGAAATGACAGGACCACTCATTGCTAGCACTGCTGGACAGGACATATCAGGAGATACCATTGTTCTCTAAATAGTGAAGAAAGTGGTGATAGAAATTCCAGAGAAAGACAGCTGCTCTGTGCTTATCTGGGGAGAATCCTTCAGAGACCATCTTCACTAGGTAACCGTTACAGTTCCAGTAACATTCTTTAGCAAACAATGGAGAACTATTTAACAAGTTTAACTAGAAATTGCCATGATCGGAAGCCTTAAAACAGCTTCTTTAATATTTTGTATTTCCTCTGCCTCTGTATTTTCCCAGAGTTTTCCCAGCATGCCACTGGAGAGCTGCTGCTGCTGAAATTTCATACCGAATGCCTGCTCCTCTAGAGATTCCTGTGCTCTGACTCGAGGTAATCCCATCTGGCCTCATTCACATTCATGTCAAGACTGGGGTGGCCACTCAGACACCTTTCCAGAGCCAGGCTTCTACCGTCTTTTCTAAATACGTCAATACATCTTTAGAGGTACATTATGGATCATGGTCTTACTGGGAAACATCCATTTCAAGTCATCAAACTGGCAAGAGACCAAAAGGTTTCACAGCACTGCACATACGCTCTTCTGCTAGCCTGCCAGTAGCATGTTGATCTGATCACTTAATCCAGCCTTCTTGCTTAGACACACTCAGGAAAATCATCTCGAACACCACTGCATGGCAGCTCATTCCAGACACCCACCACTCTTTGTGTAAAGGCGTTTCGCCTCTCTCAGTGATCCTTGTGTTCTTGTCTGGCTGCGGAGCAGAAAGCGATGGCTTGGGTTGGCTTTGTCAATACCATTCCAAAGCGGGGCAGAGAGAAGTATCAAGAACATGTGCGCACTGGAATTTACATGAGAACAGATTTGCAAGGGGTGGCATGGTAGCACAGTGGTTAGCACTAGGTTCAATTCCAGACCTGGGCTGTTATGTATGTGGAGTAAGCATGTCCCCCCCCCTGTTGGCACAGGTTTCCTCCAGGCGCTCTGGTTTCAAAGACATACCGGTTAACTGGCTTCTGGGAAAATTAGCTCTAGTGTTTGAGTCTGTGTGTGCCCAGCGATGGGCACCCTGCATTGGGAGAAGTGGTTAGAAACTTAAAGAATGAATGAAGAAGAAACAGCGCTGATAATTCAAATTCCCACACATCCATCTTACTCCGGTGTTCAGCGCCAATAACGCAAAAAAAATGAAGATGAGTGGCGTGAGAGCGCCCAGGCTGCAGAAGCTGCGTGCCAGTGCCATACCAGAAGAGCACACACACAGTGGCACCGAGTCACTGGCACCTCCACACTCAAACCTGTCGGCACGGGGCACGGGGCCACATCTCTCCACCGACAGAGAGCGCCGATAAAACGAGGTGCCTGACCCTCATGGGGGGAGCAGCGACGGATTGCAGCCGAAATCCAAGCCACGCTCAATTCATGTGAACACGGTCCGGAGGGCTTTTTTTAGCCATTTCCCCAGCAGAAAGGGGGAAGGGGGCACAGCTTGATATTTGCAAGCCAGCGGAGAATGACTGCAAGCCAGCCGCAGGCCTCACATTTTTACACGCTTTCCAGCAATGCTCGGTGATCAACAATAAACCGATGTTAACCACTTCATTTCAAAAGCACTAAACTATCCCATCTTACACCACATGGTCCCCCCCCCCCGCTAAATGGCTGTCAGATTTTGCGTGGTGCCAAAGGATCAGAAATATTACCCCAGCAGTGTATTTTCCTAATTGTGAGTGCAGCACAGAGGGCATCTGGGATTCCCATTTTTATCTGGGGGTGGGTGGGTGCCCATTCATTTAGAGCCACCGCTGAGCTCCTGGCATCTGTGCAAGCAGCCGGGCAGAAGGAATTATGGGATGGAGCCACTGCAGTTCCACCGAAGGTCAACCTGCTGCAGGGTGGCAATGAATCAACACCCTGGACAGCTGACAGACCCCCCCTGCCAGCCCCACCTCGCCCCCCGGGCTAGTTTACTTTGAAGGCTGGCCTTTTCTTTGTGACCCTTCCTGCCACCGAGAGTGGGTGGCTAACAAGCTTGTGGCGTGTAGGGGGAGTAAGGAATCGAGGGGCGGTGGGGCATCCCCCAAAGCGAAAGCCATGGAGGAGGGGGACGCATCAGCAGTGCTATCCCGGGAATGCTGGGGTGCACTTAAAGCTCTCTTCCCCCTCCCCCTCCTGAAATACCTCGGGGGACTATTTTTGGGCAGTGCTCTACGAAACTTGAAGCTGAGCAGATAAACGGAGAACGGGGCTGGGCAACACAGTGGGGGGGTGGGGAAAATAAGGGCCAATGCACAAGTTTTGGGGGGTCTGAGGGGGATTCGAATTGCCTGGGTTTCATCAGAACTATACTGGTGCTGAGTTACTCCACACTTAACAAAAACCTCTTAACGGAGCAGGAGGGATGGCAGAAGGAGGTGAAGCCAAAGCAGCAGGGGCAACTCAGGGAAACCAAAAAGCTGCCGAAGAAAGCGTGGCTGGATCCCGAATTGAACCGGCACCCTTGGCACACATCCGCTCCAGGAATTTCATGAAGAAAAAAAAAATCCTTTTGGGAATCTGTTTGAAGGGCTGGCCTTGAAGTTCCAGATCCCTACTGCCCTGTGTGGGGAGTCCCCTCATGTTCCCTTAGTCCTAAAATCCTTTCGCCTTCATTTACACATGTCCCTGGGCTCTCAGGACACACTTGGTCCCGGAGTAGCTCTCTGAATTAACCATGTCGGAAGCCTTCAACATCTTAAATACTTTATTCACATTTCCTCAGCTGCCCCTGTTCAACACCAGAGTCAGCTCCCTCAACCTGCCAGGAGACACTCATAAGGACACTGTTACCCTTCAAAATGAAAGTAAAATTAATTGGCATGTCAATTCCACACCGAAATCAAAGATGGAAACTTGCCATTTTGATTTCCAGTTTCAGAAGCTTTGGCTTTTAGCATGTAAGTCAAAACATTAATATTGGAATTCGAAAGGCAGTTTGATGAAGAGCACCTTCAGCTGTGATCCGTTTTAGCTCAAAGTGAAATTCAGGACCGTTTCAACACGCACAGAGCTGGTCAAGAAGGAAACTTGAAATTGAATACGAATGCTGGCAGCTTCCAAGAAAGCGTCAGCAAAGCATTCCAAGAAAGTAAAAAAACCTTTTAGAAATATAAAAAAAAATCGACAGACATTAGCAAATCAACTTATCAGGAAGACACTGGCATAACTGATATTTACTAAGATGTAGGAGGCTCCTTTCCCTCAAACTTCGTTGAGAATTCTTCTTTGGCATCTCTTTCCGATTTGGGCGGACACAATGATCACCTGCTTCAGAGGAAGAAAAGCCCCAGGGTTTGGCGATTTCGCGGCACAGCAGTCCGAGAGACAGGCTCGTCAGGAACTGGCTCAGCTGCGGACACAACAGTGAGGTTGACAGGGAAACACTATGACCCTCAACCCGGGACTGGGTGAAACAGGTCATGGAGGTGCAGCCAATGGTGGCAACGGGGGAATAAGGGAGGGTTGTGGAGTGAAGGACGCTGGGAGATGGGCGTGCGATACGTTTTGTCTGGTTCTGGGATTCTCCGGCTTTCAGTCTGTCGGATTCCAGTTAACACCACAGGATGAGCTATGAGCCCTGAGGTAATAATACTCTGCCCAAGCACAGGAATCCTACCTGAACACCTTAGCTTTTTGCCAAAAGACACACTGATGAAACAATTCATCTCGGACAATCACACCACAGCTCTCCTTTCAAGCGCCAGGTCCTGAGCAGCCCTATCGCTGACAGTGAAAATGCAATTGCAAGACGAAGGAGAGACGGATGTATGCTACACCCCCTGCAATGAGATGTTTATTGAATGGTGTTTTCTTGTCAAGTGGGTTTAAAAAAAGAGTAGGCAGCCACTTTTGCAGAGCTTTCAAATTGCTTACGGTAAGAGTGTGCCGACACTAGCAGTTAGATCTGCTCTGATCCCTTACATGTTTTGCATGACATTTACTGTACCATCTAACATCTTCAAAACGACCTTTCAGAGTCCCTCAATGCAGACATAAAATGAGGAATTGCTATATCCAACATTTAATCAACTACTCAAATACATTGACACAAACACGTACTCCTTTAACACGGGACTCTGTATTAATTGGTCAGCATTTGGTGATAAGAAATTTAAAAATAACATGCTTCTGAATCAAACATCTGACAGTAAGGACTTTCTGCATAACCATTTTTTTATTTCATTAACCTGTCCTAAAATTATGCAAAATAGTCTTAATTTTCCACAACTGTATAATTGGATTAATCGGAACATCTGTGCACAGGAACATGACTGTTGCTATTGAATGTTTGGCCCATGAAGTTTCCCCAAACAGGTCCCCTCAGCAGAGAGAGGCAGGCTGGGCTTTGTCTCCAACTGGATCGCCTTTTATTCACACCTCATGCCTGTCCTAGAAACTCCTGTTCTTGTGTCTACAAATTCTCATCTAGTAGAGGTCACCTTACCATTGCATTATTGTCCCACAGTGTATCATGCAGCCCATTTAGTATGTCTAGTTAACTGACCCAAGGATCTTATTCAAATCCCTGTTCCACACCCCCACCACTTTTCGTGTAAAGTACCCCCTTTCCTGATTGAGGTGTTTTCTGAAGGAATGGACTTCAAAACCATAGTTAGGTAGCTTGTTCCATAACCCTTTGGGCAAAACATTTCACTTATGTTCTCAATTTTACAAGCACTTTCATGTCCTTTTCACTAGGATAAATTAACCTATTAGTAGATCAAGAAATACAACCCATTAAAGTATTCATGGCTCATTCCTGGAAGTACTTTCACATGAAGAGAAAGGTTTACTAGCATCCAATACCTCTAATGCTGCAAAGCGATTTTAAACCCAAGGGTATCAGCCAGCATTACGCCCAGAAGGTCCAGGTTCGATCCCCAGTGGACACAGCAATCTCCCTTTTCCAAACTAGCTAGTTGGGCTGAGTTGCTTCCCTCATCAGAAACCTCTTATGTTATGACTGTAGGACATTTTCCAGAACCCAGAATTCAAATAGGACAACAAGATTTCATGGACATAAAAGGGTAATTAAAAATAGGACTTACTTGTTCTCAAAGACTATTGTTAGAGAATCTTCGTGTACATCCTTAATGAACCCCTGGAGAGAGAAAAAAGGAGAAATTATGTTTGTGTGGAAAATTCAGTCACCATCTTGAGCACAGATCAGCCAAAAATAGCACGAATCAAAACAGAGGCCCGATCCCAAGAAGACATGCAGATTTATCTTCATCAAAACCTCATTACTACACACGGGAGTGCACAAGCGAACGAGGGGACGGGGAACAACCGGCAGGTTCAAACAAATTCTGACCCCATCAGAAAAGGGGGTAGCAACAACAACTACACTCAACACAAAGTACTGAGACATCACGCTAGCGATATCCACTTCACGAGCTGCCATTTCTCACAGAATCTTTATTCCACTCACATCCTGCAATCACTTCATAACCACCTTGGATTACAGAAGCATGCTGAAGCTAGTGCTACACTACAGGATGAAGGCCCTGGCCAGAAGAAATAGCATAGATTATGACAAAAGGCAAAAAAAAAAGATGCTACATTTTTAAATCTGGAGTCTTAAGCCTTTTATTGTGTTCCCAGTCTGGTATTAGTCTAAAACCGTTGAGGGTAACAGATACTGGAGGTCATGACCTCAATGGGGATAGTGGCGCTGAGCTGTGTATTATCATGTCAGTACAGTGCATACAAAGCCATCACACCGCACAGAAGTGATGCCATCCACCTGCCTCGCTCCAACACCCTCCTCCTATCTCCTATTTCACAATGAGAATCTCCACAAGCAGCATCCGAAGAAGACAGAACGATCATACACGCTGGAAGGCAACGCATACAGAACTTCCTCTGTTTGTCAGCCAATTTACATAAATGGGGAGGAAATTCCCCAACATGAGCATTTCCACAGTTACAAAACCAAGAATCCAATTTTAGAACTCATTCACATAACAGAATCTCCACTTAATGCCGGCTACTCTCAAAAGACAAGCAAGGCTGAGTCTAGTCAGTACTGGACTGTGGAACCTCTTAGGAAAAGCAGGCTGCTGCTTTGAAAGGTGGTGGACCAGTAGGTGGCGCTCATTGCTTTGGATCAGAATCTCCAGTTCGATGACCAGGAACTTCATGCTTCAGGAAATATCCAAACTCCACTATGGCCTCCCACAATTTGGCTTTGCCTGAAAGTTACCAAGTTATTCATTTTTTTTAAAGCAATACCTCATTTTCCTACCTAATATTAAATGTGTTGCTGTGATTAGCATTGCTGCCTAAGGGCCCTGGGTTCAACTCCCGGGGTGTTATCTACGTGGAGTTTGTATGTTCTCCCCGAGTTCTTGTGGGAAACCAGGGGCTCTGGTTTCCTCACAGTAAATTTGGCTTCTGGGAAAACTGTCCCTGGTGTGCATCTCTGTCTTTTGTTGGACTGGAGTCCCATTTAGGGACTATCCTGCATTGTGCCTGTTTCTTGCTGGGATAAGCTCCAGATTCCTTAAGCCCCTGAACTGGAAGAAGCAGTTAGAAATGGATGGATAGAAATGCTGTGCAAGTAGAATTAGTGCTACAAGTCACTACATAACAGTACTGTACTTCAGAGTTGGATGAAGTGGATAGCCTTTTATTTTTAAAGCACTTTGGGTCCTTCACAATTTAATTGTATAATATTATATCTCTGATTACCCTTCAGTTCCACAAAATTTTAATTACCTTCATTCAGTGGTTGGCACTGCTCTTGTCCTCTGGATTCCAAACATTAAAGCCCATTGTGTAACTGCAGACCACACTGCGCCCTGTCCTTGCTTTAACAGCACAGGTGAGCTAAAAAGCACATGCCCACTGCGGCTCTTGGGGACACATGGGGCCCTGCTGGTCAGTTAGGTCAGTCCTGCCAATCCCATCCCTCAAGAGTCACTGGGGGAACTAAGCTGTTTTCTGGGTATTTAAGCATTGAGACTTAAAAGACAAGTAGAGCTTCACCCACGAGGGATTATTCATTACCCGTCACAGACTTTGATCCTTCAATAAATCCCAGGAGATTGTGGAGTTTGTATGTTCTCCCTGGGTTTACATGGGATTCCTCCAGGTTCTCCGGTTTTCTCCCCCAGGCCACAGACATACTGGGAGGCTTCTGGGAAAATCAGCCCTGGCGTAAGCGTGTGCATGTTTGTGTGTGTGTGCCCTGCGATGGACTGGCATCCCATCCAGGGTGTATCCTGCCTTTTGCCTGTTGCTTGCCAGTGCAGGCTCAGGCTACCCTGGGACCCTGAACTGTAAAATGCAATTAGAAACTGGATAGATGGAACCATCACAACCCATGTATTCCTATTGGGGGAAGCGAGAGCACCTGGCAGAAGGTACACTACTTCAGACTCAAACCCAAGAGCTATGACGCAGCAGCACAGCTGCCCTAGTCCCAATAACGTCTTGTGTGTGGCTGTAAAGACGGTCTTTGCTTGGGCCGGCAAAGAGGAGGGATTATCAGAACCGGAGGAGAAAATATTAAAGTCAAGGCCCCCGATCAGGCAGAGGGGCTCCGATGCAGACGTCCCTGCAGGCTGAACGACAGCATCGTGAAACAGCAGGGGCCTCTGCTAAGAAACAACAAAAGATGATGCCAGAACACTTCTCGGGAAAGGAATCTAGTTGCAGCTGAACTTAAAATATCTGGCCGAAAGAGACAGTGATATAGGATCCACACAGAGATCACTCCAGTCACTCCTGCAGTGTTAAAAGCTCTTCTTTGTAGAAAGCTAACAGGGAGCAAAGAGTACATTTGGACAAATACACTTCGGTGCTTAAAATCTAACCAAATCATTTTGTTTTATTTTACCTCATACCTGCTACACAATCAAAAGCATCAAAAAAGCTATGCTCTAATAAGCTGAATTAGCCTATACTCACTCCCACTCAAGGAAAGAAATGGAATGCAGCACAAAACTAAGAATAATAAACACTTTTCATACTGCTGCATGACCTTCTTCAATTATCTTTGAAAAACTGGTATTTACTGAAAAACATTTTGTCCTGAATAACAGTAGGTTGTTTAATATAACATTTTAAAAATATTGTTATCATGGTAACTTATCACAGTTTTTTTTATATCCTCACATATAGACGTTTGACATTAACCATGTGCAATAACAGCTCTGGGGCAAGATAAGAGGCAACTTTTCTTCGCCTGCCGCATGAAATTACTGGCAGAAAACATTTCTGTCCTCATTAAGAAACTTCAAACACACCATCTGTGAGTGGTAATAGGGAATGTGAAACAATCAAGTATAACAAATTAAACTCATCAATTGGTTTCTGGGAAAACTGGCCTGGTGCGAGTGTATATCCATGTCGGCCCTGCAATGGGCTGGCATCCTTTCCAGGGCGTACCCTACTTTGCACCCGTTGCTAGGCTCTGGCTCCCCCATGACCCGCTGAATTGTATGAATCGGTGAGAAAATGGATGTGGGCTTTGTTGGAGGACTGGGCCTCATCTCATCCATCACTGTGCTTTAAGTTTGTGTAGCAACACCCACACCAGCTGCAGACATTGTGACAGAGCCTTACTGGGGACAGACATGACTCCTAAGAGGAAGCACAGGCCACAGTGGGGCACTTTCAACACAAAACAAGAAAACCGGCAATATTAAGCAACACTTGTAAAGTATTGTTCGCCCCAAACGGCTTGAAAAGCAACTCCAGGCCCACCTGGGTGATACAGGGTAGCCTTTTGGCATCAACAGTCCCACTGGTCAGCAGATCAGATGTAGGAGTGCTGAACTGCCATAGAAACTTCAAGCCTTCCAAACGGTACAAGTCCAGAAAGGAATTTTGCCAGGACAGAAGAATTTACACATCTTGCACTTTGGGGAAGTTCTCTGGGATCTTTAATAATCAAGTAGTCAGGATAATGGTTTAGCGTCTCAACCAGGTTTAATGTCCTGGGACACTGGACTGGAAATTCTGCTTCAGAGGGGAGAGTGTTACCCAAACTAATAGTAACACCAGGTCAGTCTACACTGAAGAAACAGATTCCATATAAAACATTAAACAATAATTGTATCTAAAGGAGATCTCAGATTGGAATTATTCAAACAGTCTTGCCTGCTCCAACTCCTAGATCTGGCTTCCTTTTTCTGCAGTCCTTTCAAAAATATTACACAGGGAAAGATCTCCACAACTGCCAGGAAGAGAGCACAATGCTGGCTGTGCTCAGAAACGAGGGCTGTCCCCCTACACCCACCTGCCCCGCTGGAACACTGCAGTCATCACAGGCCTACAAACACCCACAGCCTGAGGGGGGTCTCAGATCGCCAACGCAGGTGGCACGAGTGAGACAGACATGAGGTGCTGAGTGATGCGCGACAGACTGAAGCAACAACAGCAGAAGGCAGGATTCTCCCCATTCTCCACATTCCAGAGGGAAACACGCGGTGAGCACATTTGGAGAAGAATCACTGGGTGTCAGACAGGTGAGACGGCTGTAATACTACTAACATCAGATCCATTTTATGAATATTTGAAACCTGGAGCTGAGGGCCAAGTCTTAAACTGAACAAATTCTTTTAAAACATCTGCTGGAAAAAAAGTATTTTGCCACTAGTGGAATTGAATTAGTAATGGAACAAGTAATAGGTTTATTCCATGCTGAAAAAAAGAAGAAAGAGAACACAACGTTTCGGCCGTGAAGCCTTCTTCAGGTGACGAAGAAGGCTTCACGGCCGAAACGTTGTGTTCTCTTTCTTCTTTTTTTCAGCATGGAATAAACCTATTACTTGTTCCTTTGCAACCTACGCATGCTGACGCAGCTACCCACCTGAACTACTTGAATTAGTAATGGCAACTACTAGATATACAACATATTTTGAATTCCCCTTTCTGTGCTTTCTTGTGCTCATGGACTTCAAACTACCTTTCCTTTGTTGAAAAATTAAGAATGGCCATTTCTTTGCTGCACCGTCTGGCTTTCGGAAACTATCTGTGCGTCTTGCATGTGTTGGCTAACAGCTGTGAACCTCATAACCGCACACGGGAGAATAAGGAAGTGAGGGCAAAGTCCTCAACCCCGCCCACCTTCCAGCCACTCTTTTCCAAAGT